TTTGCCTTTATAAGCAAACCTAATTCGCGCTTTCCAAAACAATATGTGAACTAAAACTCAGCCATCCTTTGAAATTTACATTTCTCTAATTTTTTTCAGTGCAGTTCACCTGTCAAGTAATGATTGGGGGGGGGTTGCATGCACCAGGGTGCATAGAAGAGCATGTTTTTGTGAAAATAACAAACGAAAATGCATTATACTGAGGGAAATTGCTTAATAAAACTAAGCATATTGGGAGAAATTCACACTAAAGGGCTGGTGAATGTTCATGAAGACTAAAAATAAAATTCACAAGAAAATTCACAAACTCTTCAGGAAATGTGGGAAACTGAAGATCGGAAAAATGAAAATCTGAAATTTTCAGAGTGGCGCACAGTGCATAACCCAAAAGCTGAACACAGACCACCATATCTTGCCATATCTTGTTGGCAACTTAGGACAAGAGAAACTGGACGTCAAGTCCCTGGCAGACTGTAGTATGTGACGGGTGGCTCACACTTGACTCTACAGACTTGTGGTAAGTGTTGCTGCGTTTTACAGTGTATTTCTGTTTCAACTTCATATAGTAGTCCGAAGAACACATAATGTGATACAACAAAACAGCTCCATTTCTGCTGTTCTGATACAGAGCTCTTATTGAACCTGTTTCAAGCTAAATCAGTTCTTATTTTGTGCAACTCGAGACAGAATTTTGGCCCAGGCTTGGCAATATACAAGAGGATATATTGCTCTAGACCAGTGTTTCCCAACCGGTGTTCCGCGGCACACTAGTGTGCCGTGAGACACCGGCTGGTGTGCCGTGGGAGGGAGGCGGGCGAGTCGGGCGCCTAGGAGAGAACAAAACCAAGTGAGCAGCGCGCGAGAGGGAAGCGACCCGAAAAAGAAGCGCGTTCGGAGTCCGGAGGCACTTTTGGGGCTGCGTACGAAGGGAGGGGGGGCACGGACGGCGGAAGGGGGCGGGGCGCGGTTGCAGAAACCCGCCAATGCTTCCACCTCATTGGGAAAGGGAAGGGGTTGGGCCACCTAAAACTCTCCGCCGGGGCCACATCCTGCCTCCCAGCCCCCTTTCCTCCACCCACGGAGGGAGGGATGTTTTTAACACCCCCCCCCCGCTCACAACCCTTTGGTAGCGTTTCTCCAATCTGAGGCGAGCGCCCGCCGACGCCCCCTTCCCCTGCTCAGTCGCGCAAAAACCGAAGTCTCCTCCCTACCCCTTATTCCCTCAAACCCCGTTTCCATAAGGGGGGGGGGAATAACCCCTTCCGTCGCGCGCAAAGCCCAGCTCCCTCCGCCCTTCGCGGTCTCCTCAGCACTTCAGCCAGCCGTTTACACTCTCGGAGCCACTGGGCAAAACTCGCTCTCAGAAGCGCGCGGAGAGAAAGAGAGAGGGAAACAAAGTTAACTTGTGGGGAGAGAGAAAGAGCGAGCGGGAGCTAACTTGTGTCCAAAGGCAGATACAAAGTAGCCCCCCCGCCCCGAAGGCGACCTCTCTTGCTCTGCTCCTCTGGGGTGGGGAAACCAACTCCACCACGCGGAGCAGCCCCGAGGCGGGGAATTTCGCCCCTTCGTAATGTATGCATGTAAATGAGGCGGGCGCAAGGGGTGGGCGCGGAGAGGAACTCACGCCTCTGAGGCCGCCGCCTCCTTCTCCTCCTCCTCCGCCCCCCCCTCAAACCCAGGCGGCGGCGGCGGCAGGAGGCAGCAGCGGCAATAACAGAAGCAGCTGCGCTGACAACAACACGTGTTCGCTCGGGCACCATGGAATTCGAGGAGCTGGGGATTCGGGAGGAGTGCGGCGTGTTCGGGTGTATCGCCTCCGGCCTGTGGCCCACGGAGCTGGACGTGCCCCATGTGATCACGCTGGGGCTAGTGGGGCTGCAGCACAGGTAGGGGACACGGCGGTGGGGGGGGGAGACGGTCTGGGGAAGCGGGGGGAGGGTGGGTTGCTTGCGAGACAGCGGAGGAGGAGGAGGCCGGCATGTCCGGGCAGCAGCAGCAACAGCAGCAGCAGCAACTCCCGGCGACGGCTCCTCCTCCGCCCGCTATCGCCGCCGCCTCAGCTGCCGCCGTCCCTCAGTCCCTCGCTCTGCTGCCTCCTCCCACCCCGGCAAGGGGAAGGGAAAAAACTTTCACTTTTGTGCGTCCCTCCCGGCGTGACGCTGCGCGCTGACGTCACGGGGCGGGGCTTTAATGGTGGTGTGCCGCGAGATTTTTTTCCGGTAAACAGGTGTGCCGTTGCCCAAAAACGTTTGGGAAACACTGCTCTAGACTAAGGCATGAACATAAAAGATAATGCTGCAGACTGGCCGACGGCCATGCAGATTTGCTATACGGATGAGAGGTGAAGCATGTATTTTTTAACTACGTTCAGCATTTGTAACGAAAAACATACAAAGCAGTGAAGGCTCACGACAGCACATGCCCTATGCCATCCATTTCATCTGCTCAAGAGAACTGTGGCTTCCTTGCTCACAGACCTAAACAAATACCTTTCAAAATCACCATGACACTGTTTTGTCTTCCAATTCTGCCTTCCAATTGTGCAAAGGTCAGAAGGATGTGGTAGAGATTAGCACCAGGCCCATTATTTTGGTGGGGGAGGAGAATATCCACATCTTTTTGAAGAAGGTTGGCTCGGTATACGAGAGAGGGTGCAAAACTGCTGATATCAAGTTTGATTTTTTAAAAATTGTTGCATAGAAGCATTTGCACACATTCCCCAGCTGATTGCAAAAGTAACAAAATGGACACTTTTCTGAAAATAGAGACCCTCGAGTCAAAAATTGGATATTTTACCTATGAAACCCTAAGTCTACAAATGTGCGTAGAAGGATACAAAGTATTATGTGATTGATAAGATATTTATGGTTTGGCTGTCACACCAAACCATAGCTTGGCAATACTTGAAAAAGCCCTGTGTTTGCACACGCCCTTCTTCCCCGTGTGCTCCACTTGATTCGTAACTTCCTAGTTCGGGGCAAACCATAACTTGCCATTACAGCCAAACCAGCAAACTATGGCAGGTACAAACCCTGCAAGTCACGTTAGATATCAAGGCTCCATCTTCGTTCCAACATCTGTTGACAAGGCAAAAGCCTGGCCAATCTGGAAGCTTCACAGTGCTTATTAGAATGTTGCACCAATTCCCTGCTGTGACTTAGGGTAGCTCTGAGACCCCAAAATACACCCTCCTTGCAGTTCACCATTTAAGCCCTAACCTCAGCCTCTAAACTACCTTTGCCTTTAGGACACTTCTGTCCCTGGTTATTTCTATACTATGTAAGACAGGGATGTGGGTCCTCTGCTTAAGTCTTGGCGGGTAGCAAGAGGGAAAGTGATTGAGAGAAGGGGGGGGCAGAAACCAAAAGAAAAGGTGGCAGAGAGAGAGAAAAGGAGAGGTTCACTCATTTCAGGTCTGACTCTGCCCACTTCTGGCTCAAGCCCAAACTACCCCTAGCACGTGGTGGTTAACACTTGAGAGAATGCAGTACTCAACAGAATAAAGGCTCCACACCCTGATGCAAGAGCTCTTGCATGCACTAACTCTGGAAATACCAGCTGCTCCAAGTAGAATAGCACTGAGGCATGTTGGGAAGGAGGCATATCATCTTAGATATTCCCCCAATACTGCCAAGCCACCCAAAGTGGGATGAAGTGGCCCCTGTGCCTCTTTCTGGGTTGTTGTTTTTGCTCGTACACTGACCAACAAGATTGGGCCTTAAGTACCCGTATTTTTCGCACGATTGGACGCACCGGACCATAGGACGCACCTAGTTTTTTGGGGGGGAAATAAAGGGAAAAAATTTTCCCTTTATTTTCCCCCCAAAAGCAGGTCAGGGAAACCGAACCAGGTCGAGGAACAGCGGGATAGTGGCGCTGCGCCTCCCTGCTGTCCCCCGAGCTTGTGGGGCTGGCTGATGTCTGCCTGGCGCGCAGGGCGCTCTGCTTCAGGGCGCCCCACCCGCCAGGCAGCAGGCTGCTATCTGCAGCGTGGGGAGCCCTGCGGGGAACTCCTGCAGGGCTCCCCACGCTGCGGATGTCTGCCTGGCGCGAGGGGTGCTCTGCTTCAGGGCGCCCCACCCGCCGGGCGGCAGGCTGCTATCCGTAGCGTGGGGAGCCCTGCGGGGAACTCCTGCAGGGCTCCCCATACTGCGGATGTCTGCCCGGCGCAAGGGGCGCTCTGCTTCAGGGTGCCTCTCGCGCCGGGCGGCAGGCTGCTATCCGCAGCGTGGGGAGCCCTGCGGGGAACTCCTGCAGGGCTCCACACGCTGCGGATGTCTGCCCGGCGAAAGGGGTGCTCTGCTTCAGGGCGCCCCTCACGCCGGGCAGCAGGCTGCTATCTGCAGCGTGGGGAGCCCTGCGGGGAACTCCTGCAAGGGTCCCCACACTGCGGATGTGTTCCCAAAGCGCCGGGCGCTCTGCTTTCAGGGTGCCCGACGCTCCGGGAAGCAGGCTGCTATCCGCAGCCTAGACATCCCTGTGGGACCTCCCGCAGGGCTGCCTAGGCTGCGGATGTGTTCCCGAAGCACCGGGCGCTCTGCTTTTAGGGCGCCCGACGCTCCGGGAAGCAGGCTGCTATCCGCAGCCTAGACACGGCTAGCGGAGCGCTAATCCCGAAGCTTGGGGCGTGCGGAGCTCAGCGCGCCCCAAGCTTCTGGGTGCCGGCAAGGTCTCCGCTAGATGGCTAGCGGAGACCTTGCCGGCACCCAGATGCTTGGGGCGCGCTGAGCTCCGCACGCCCCAAGCTTCGGGATTAATGCAGCGCTCCGCTAGCCGTGGGAGAGCTGGGTCTCCCACGGCTAGCGGATAGCTTCCTGAAGCCTGGAGAGCGAGAGGGGTCGGTGTGCACCGACCCCTCTCACTCTCCAGGCTTCAGCGAAAGCCTGCATTCGCTCCATAGGACGCACACACATTTTCCCTTGCTTTTTAGGAGGGAAAAAGTGCGTCCTATGGTGCAAAAAATACAGTATCTAGTTCAGGGGTGAGTTACCTTTTTTAAAAAAAAGCTACCTTCCCTTCAGGGCCACATGCCAGTGGTGGCTGGAAGCCAGGAATGGACATGGGTGGAACAAGGCATGCTAATTCTACTTCTGTACTGTAGGGCTGGATCTAGACACATCAAAGAAGCAATTCGGTTAAACGCATTGTAAACTTCATACAGGGAAATCCCGTTGGCAAAAGACGGGACTCCACAGTGCCATCTGGCGTCACAGTGTTGTTAACACATATATAGCGCTTTATCTTTACGAACGTAGCTGAGTCCTATGTTTGTTTCTACACATCCTCACACATCCCTCTCTGCCCTCCATCCAGACAACTTTTCAGAGTTCAAGGACCCATTCTAGCCAGGCAAACAGACTCAGGGAGGAGGGTGATTGGGGAGAGTCCCAGAAGCCAGGTAAAGTTGCCTGGATAGCCACATTCAGCCTCAGGGTCTGAGGTTCTCCAACCCCGATCTAGCTGAAAGCCCACTAAGATATTCACTTGACCTGCCAGGGCTTCTAATGAGGCAACAACCAGGGAATGCATATTTTAACCTAAAATAAATACACACCATCAAAAGCAACCCAGTGTCAAAATGGCAGAAGCCCACATGATCCTCAGTTGATGCAATGGCACACTAGACCCAATACTGGTTGCGCTTCAAAGTTGGGTTGGTTTTCCGACAGTGCTGGATCATTTCCGGGTCAAGTCCAGACCAGCTGCTTTGCAGAAGACTTTCTTTGGCTGGAGCTGGGGCAACTGGCACAGGATGAAGATGCTCCCGTCTGACCGCCATGAACGGGAAGGTGGTTGTTTTGCCTGCACCTTCTAGCAGGGGTGTCATTGTGACCACGGGGACAGTCAAACGCCTTTCCTGGCAAAAGCCTGGGCTGCTGAGAGCTGCTGGCGGCTGGCCTGCAACGAGAGGCTTGGTCTTTTGGGGATTGTGACACATTAGGAAGACGCAAACGGCCACCGCACTCGCAATGAACAGAACTGCCACAGCAGCGAGCGGTACAATGATGAGCAGTCGGTTGCTGCTATGAGGGGGCTGAACCCAGGTGCTTCTGGAGCTTGTTTTGATGGTGGTCTCAGCCCAGGCAGATCTGCCTCTTGCAACCTCCTCATTAAACCATACCTCTTTATCGTTTTGATGCCCCTGGTGATTTTGGTTATGCCACGGAGTGTGGCTTGGTGCTTCAGTGTGCCCGTCACCCTCTGGAAAAATCACAGGTTCGGTTTTTGTAACGGAGTAAGTCTTTAAAATGTTTGCACTAGTAGTTAAGAGAGGCACTTCCGGTGTAAACATCTGAATCAGCAAGGGATCATGCGGCACTATGGCATAGTGAAACTGGCCCATGGCAGGCTGCACTTTGTCGGCTCCAAGTACAAATGTGAAGGAATCATTTAATACATCAACCCCTGTCATATTGGCATCTGCCTCAAGGAATATAGCACCCTTGTTGATGTCGCTCTGAGTGAAGAATGCAGCTTCACTTTTAGAATTGGTTAATGACCTCCTTAGCACTTTCCCATAAGCTGGAGGCACCATCACTTCAAACTTGGGGTTGCTGTTTGTCAAGTTTGCCAGCTGTGAAGCATCCAGGTCGCTGGCTTTTAGCTGGTAAGCCGCCCTGTTTGGAATGTTCAAGCCAAGTGCCGTTCGCACAAGAGGCTGGATCGTGATGTTCATAGCTTGTCCCGTTAGATTACTGTCCAACGTGAACACCGTGAATCCCAGCCTATCTCCAGTTGCGGTGAGGTCCGTCATACAATACACTAGTCTACTTGCATATAAATCGTCTTGGTAAAACTTGGTGACGCGCTCATTGCCGATCAATAAATGCCCATATCTGGGGGGTTCTGTTACTTCAAAACTGATCTCAGCGTTTCTCCCATTTGTGGTCGCCGAAAGGTGTACATTCGTAATAGCGGCACTGCTCTGCCCTTGTGAAAGCACCACCTCTGTTAGGTTGACCAAGGTGACGGCCATGGGTGTCACCTCAAGGTTAAAAAGCTTGTACAGTGGACGGTGTTTTCCATCTGTCACGCTAAAGTAGAAGACCCCAGAGGAAGAAGTTCCATCTTGCACAAACCAGACTCTGCCACCATCGACATCAGCTTGCGTAAAATCCTTGATGGATTCGTTGAGATGCGTCTGCAATGCTAGGTAGCCGTTTGGGGGATTGCTTATGATAGTGTATTTGATCTCTTCCGGGGTGTTATCCAAGTCTTCCACTTTCAGGTTTTCTGGTCCTAGAACTGCTGTATCTCCTTGTAAAACATTCAAATGTAGCTGCTTTGTCTTTAGCTCTGGAGTGTGGTCATTCACGGGCACAACAGTGATATTAAATGTCTCTTCTAAAACACCAGAATCGGGTTTCACGGCAGACTTGCCTTTCTGGTTTAGCCACACAGCAAAAATAAATTGGTCCATGAGTGATTCAGAGTCATCATGTATATAGGTGATTCCAAATTTGTTAAGGATGTATTGGGAGAAATTGGGTTTCTCCCTAGTAATGTTTCTTTCTCCCACCACAATTCTGCCATGCGGGGGCAATGAAATAACTTGATACCATACTTCATATGCAGAACGTTGCATCTCGGGTAATTTAAAGAGCAAATTTGAACCATCTAGGTTAGTTTTGTCAATTAAAACCTTGCCTCCTTCATGGACAACAGCACCTATTGTTTTTTCAAAGAAAGAAAAAGTAGTTTTAATTCACAGTAGCAAGAAATCATGATTTAGAGGGCTATGATAGATTATAATATTTTAATGAGTAGGGAAACACAAACGTCTCTCTGAAGTTCTTTCTATCTGAGGCAGGATCTGTAATTTCCAAAACAGAAACTAGACAAAAGGCTTAAAAAAGGAGATGTGGGGGCAGCAGGGGGAGAACGAGTTTAGGAAATGTTGGGAAAGAAGTAGCCGTTTACTTAGTTTGCCATTGGAATGGAAGGAAACAAATCATACTTTTAACAATTTGCGCAGAGGAGTTGCTTTAACTAGCCAAAATAAATAGGAGACCCAGTAAGATAAGTGTTCGAATTTGATCAGCAAAACTTGAGCTCTAGTCCCTGCACATACATGAAATGACCTTGAGCCACTCATTCCTCTTACTTCACTGAGTAGTTGTGAAGACAAAAAGAACCTAAGACCATAAAAATCAGGCCAAAAGCCCCATCTTGTCTAGCCTCCAGTTCTCACAGTGCCCAACCACACACCTGTGGGAAGCCCGCAATGAGGACCTTGGTACATGAACACTCTCCCCACTAAAGATTCCAGCAACCAGATATATAGACATTAGCAGTAGAGCAAGTCATTGTTTCTCATCTTCCATGAGTTTGTCTAATCCTCATTTAAAGCCATCTAGGCTAGTGGCTAAATCTTATGCAAGCAAATTCCATAGTTTAACTAAAAAAAAAAAGGACCCTGAGTGGTTAAGTCTAGACTGTGGGGTTGTGGCACTCATCTCGCTTTCAGGCTGAGGGAGCTGGCGTTTGTCCACAGACAGCTTTCCAGGTCATGTGGCCAGCATGACTAAACCACTTCTGACGCAACAGAACACCGTGACGGAAACCAGAATGCACGGAAATGCCGTTTACCTTCCCGCCGGAGTGGTACTTATTTATCTACTTGCACTTCCTGCTTTCGAACTGCTAGGTTGGCAGGAGCTGGGACTGAGCAACGGAAGCTCACCCTGTTGCGGGGATTCAAACCACCAACCTTCTGATCGGCAAGCCCAAGAGGCTCAGTGGATTAGACCACAGTGCCACCCGCGTCCTATAGTTTAACTGTGCACTGTGCGAAGAAGTACTTTATTCACTGTCAAACTTTCAGCTTCCTTGGATGGCCCCAGGTTCTAGTTTTATAAGAGAGAAAGGGGTAACTTCATGTGGGCTGTCGTGAGTTTCTCAATCGTACAAATGTGATTGAAAACAATATACTGGCTTTACCTGTATTTGCAAGTAGCTGAGTGGTCCGATCATGTCCTTTAATTTCGTAAGAAATATTAATGAGGAACACCTGAGGATCCAGAGCTGCTGGCGGGGAGGAGACTGTAAAGGTAAAAGAATCCTGTGCATTCCAATAAACTGCCTCCTTACTTTGCATGCTCATAGATGAGCATCCCTTCATCTACCTGTCCAGAGGAGAGAGGAAAAACAAATTACTGGAACATGCAGGTAAGACAGCAGAACTGGTCCAAAACAAGTTTCCAGCTAATTCTTTGGCCTACAGAAAAGAATTACTTCACATGTGGAATTGGGCCAAACCTCAGAGTTAAAACCTATAATCCCGTGAAAGTGCTGTGGGAACTCCATGACCGCAAAACCTTAATTCTATGTGTAATACAAAAGGTTTACCCTCAAGCCGGCTAACAAATCCACTGGTTCACGGCAATGAGTGCTCAGAGGGAGACCCCGGTGCTTTCGCAAGCGAAAGGAAGAATGCCTTCGAATCCAGAACCCCTCACCTGAGAACACTGTTAGGGAAGGTGAAAACCCATAAGGGAGTGCATTTTTAATTTTTACATTGTGGTTTTATTGGGTGTCTTCATGCGGTACAATATAAACTGCAACAGCAAGAAGAACAGGCAGGCACATTAGCACACAAGCGAGCTTCCCCCCTCTCAGTGGCACCACTAGGGTCAGAATAGTGACAGTCCCTGAACAGCCTTCCCCCCCCAAACATTTCACAGAGCAGGGAATAAAGAAGTCTGAGTGATGCTGCAGACAAGTCATGCCTGACATCTTTAATTCTGCAAAGCTGGTGCACTAACCATCTCTACCTAAAGCACTGAAAACAATATTAGAAAAAGTGATCTGTTTGTCGAAACACGCCAGGAGGGGGCACACGCAGCCCCCAGAATGAGACAAACCTCTCCAGGCGTCTTCCCTATGAAGCGCTGCTCAGGATGTCCATAAATCTTCAGTCCCCTGCACGCTTCCAGCAACACATATGAGAAGACTATGTGCACACTCACTCAGCGGAGTTTAGAAGATTAATAATAATAATAATAATAATAATTTATTATTTTGTACCCCGCCCATCTGGCTGGGTTTCCCCAGCCACTCTGGGCGGCTTCCACAGAAAACAAAAATACAGTAAAATCACATATTAAAAACTTCCCTGAACAGGGCTGCCTTAAGATGTCTTCTGAATGCCAGGTAGTTGTTTATCGCTTTGACATCTGATGGGAGGGCGTTCCACAGGGCGGGCGCCACTACCGAGAAGGCCCTCTGCCTGGTTCCCTGTAGCTTTGCTTCTCACAATGAGGGAACCTCCAGAAGGCCCTCGGCGCTGGATCTCAGCATCCGGGCAGAATGATGACGCTCCTTCAGGTATACTGGGCCGAGGCCGTTTAGGGCTTTAAAGGTCAACACCATCACTTTGAATTGTGCTCGGAAACATACTGGGAGCCAATGTAGGTCTTTCAAGACCGGTGTTATGTGGTCTCGGCAGCCGCCCCCAGTCACCAGTCTAGCTGCTGCATTCTGGATTAGTTGTAGTTTCCAGGTCACCTTCAAAGGTAGCCCCACGTAGAGCGCATTGCAGTAGTCCAAGCGGGAGATAACTAGAGCATGCACCACCAGAAACGAAGTGGGGCGTAGGTGTGTGCATTCTAAGTATTTATTAAGCAATTTATACAGCACAAAGCAATCATGGCGTCTCTCCTCTTTCTTCTCCAAGAGAGAGAGAGAGAAAGAAAGTACGACAGTACAATAGAGCGGAAAAGATAAGACTAGCTTCCATTCTCACACTTTCCAAGCCTAGAAAGTAAACACAGACATGTGATGTAACAATCACACATCCAGCAACGGAGGAGTGAAATGCTAACACTGTTCACTCCCCACACGGCAGGTAAGGAGCAGTGGAAGAATATGCCCCTTTTTCTTTGTTCTTTGGGGGAAAGAAGAAAAAGCCGACC